CGCCCACCATCCAATGGCTCGAGGCCATGGGCGACCGCGGCCACAAGCGCGCCTACCTCTACCACTGGACCTACGAGGCCGACTGGTTCCCCAACCACTACGGCGCCTGGCACAACGAGGACGTCGTCTACCTCACCCAGCAGGGCTGCGTCCTCAACGCCCCCACGCCCTACTGCAACGTCTTCACCCCGCAGACCACCCCTGCCAGTATGCCCCTCGTTTCCAAGCTCCAGGGCTTCTGGTCCGCCTTCGCTGCCAAGGGCAAGCCCGATGTGCGCGGCTGGGACGCCTACACCCACGTTGTGGGCAGGAAGGGTAAACCCCACTACCTCTCCATCGAAAGCCCCACCTCCTTCCAGGTCAAAAGCTCGCCCATCCAGGTCAGCCAGTGCGCCTTCCTCAACACAAGGGTGTAAAAACCGCACGAGGAAGAACTGTTTGCCTGGCACATTATAATACCCTTTGTACAACACCCCCTTATTTTGGACCGGTCCCTGCTCAGCAAGTTCGCCTAGGTTGTCAATGCATATTTACGAATCAAGAGAGCAAAAAGGCTTAATCTCAGAGGATCGTAGAAACAAGTCTACTCTGCCCCTTGCAATGCCCCGTTCTTTAGAGAAGTCGTCTGCAAAGGATCCGGTCCCTGCCTGCGCAAAGTCTGCAAATTCCCACCAGTCGGAGCGCTCGGTGGGCCTACCGAGCGACGCGAATAAACAAAAAAAAAAAACTAACTCCGGAGGACACAAAACTCCACCACCCGACAAACCGAGCTAGCAACCCTGTTATTAGCCACCCACCTTGCTTGATGCCCAACCATTTCGTCTCGACGCTAGCTGTGCTGGGTGGCCTCTTCCTCTTCCTCTTCGCCGCCCTCCAAACACCTGTCTTCAACCGGTCCCTTTTACTTCGGAGCAGTGAGGACCAACCAGTCTCCAATCGCCGCCATACACAGGGCACCAATGCCACACACATGAAGAAAGAGCAGACCAACAAGCGTAAGTCACAGGTCAACACCACCCTCTCAGGGACTTAGCTGAGCTTGTTGGAATGCACAGTATGCAAAGCATCTGCATACCTTTGATTGAGCATGATGAGCTTCTGAAGTAGTAGTGTGATGATGCTTCTGCTTACTTAGTACCTGATGGGGTAGAGGCCCATAACCTGTAGAAGAGTACTGTGGTGACTGTAGGTGAAGAGAAGAGTTGTATTGATAGAAGAGAGAGAAGTGCATACAAAACAACTACCATCATTGCCTTTTATCCTTGCTTATGAGAGTGTCTGATTGGTTGCCAGTGTGCTTTGACCTTTTGACCTTTGCCTGCGCTCTTACCTTTTTGCAGGTCAATCAAAGGTATGCAGATGCTTTGATAGTTGAAGAAACTGCCCCACACTGCACTGTCAACTCAGACCTCACCCCCCATGCCACCACCTCAATGTAACCCACCTCATAGAGCAGCCCCACATTGCACATTGTCTTGCCACCACCATGGCCCACAAGAACCCATCACCACACCACTGCGCCCTACACCCCCTTACACTACAACCCACACCAACAAGTGGTCATGCAGTCCTCATAGATACCACTGCTACTCAACAGTAGCAGGTACCTTGCCTGGAAGGTGCAACACCTTGCCTATCTCCAGTCCAAGGGACTCAGAGGCATAGCCCTGGGCACCACCACACGACTGACCACCAAGTACCACCAGAAGCCAAGATTTGTGAAAGGGAATCTGAGCTCAACACCACCACAGGTGGCCAGGACAAGCTCCTCTACACCCACAAGTGACTGCACAATGGCAGACACCAGAACCCCAGCGCACCAGATAGGTGGCGCAAGAACACCAGTCACACACCACCCACCATGCACAGCAAGGACAGCCAGCAACTTGGAGTCAGTGTGGTACCTCAATTCCAGCGCCACATCACACATGGGCATGAAGTGCAAATGGTTCCACACCTATGAGCAGCTTGCCCACCACTCCATCACTCTTGGTGATGACTCCACACTGTCAGTGGTAGGCTGAGGAGATGTCCACATCACCCACTGTGTTGGAAACACTGTCATCTCACTTGTCCTCACTGATGTTCTGCATGTCCCCATCTGGCCAAGAACCTTCTGTTAACTGCCAGACTCACCCATTGTGGCCTCAACACCAAGATCATGTGGACTGGATGCAGAGTCTACAACAACATCACCCAGCACACTGGGCTGCAGCTGGTGCAGCTCAGCCACATGCTCATAGGCATGCTCCACATCCTCACTGTCAAGTGAGCACTCACAACCAGCATGGCCAAAGCAATGGCCACAGTCCTACACCATTGACTTGGGCACATCAGTGAGCCACAACTTCAAGCCTTTGCCCACCACACCCATGTTGAACTCACCCAAGGACCAGTCAACCAGTGTGAGACCTGCATATGCAGCAAGATCACACACAAGCCCATCAGGAAGGGACCCATCCTAAATGCCAGTGCACCACTGGAGCTCATCCACACACACATCAGCAGACCACTCAAGACACCTACCAAGGGAGGTTGTGCCTACTACATTACATGATTGCATACTTGAATGACAGTGGTATTGTTCTGGTGTGCTGTTGAGGTAGTTGTGTAGTGCATCAACAGCTTCATGCTTGTGGTGGAGGAGATAGACTCAAGTATGCAATCCAATCTGACCAAGGAGGCAAGTTCACCACAGCTGCATTCCAGAGAGTGCTCAGCAGCCAAGGCATTCACCACAAGACCACTCTGTGAGCACACCTGAACACAATGGGTCAGCTGAGTGTCTCAATCACATGCTACTCACCATGGTCCATGCCTACCTCATTGACTCCAGACTCAACAAGTTGTTCTGGGGAGAGGCAATGAGGACCACTGTCTACATCCTCAACCATGTCCCAGGCAAGATGCTCAACACCACCCCTTTCAAAGCCTGGTCAGGAGTACCATGTTGCACTGACCACATCTGCACCTTCAGATGCTGTGCCCATGTACTTGCCATTCACAACCAATCCAAGCTCAGTGACCAAGTGCAACCCAGTGTCTACCTTGGCCCTGCCAACAAGACCTCACACCTTCATCAGATCCTCCTCAACAACACTGAATGCATTGTTGGCAAGTGGATTTCAAGATTGTGAGCTGTTGAGCAAGCTCTGCTTGCTTGAGTATGTACAGGCTCTTGTGGAGTTGGCAGGTCCCCACGAACGCACCCCTATCAGTGCACATGGGCTCTTCAATATCAAGCTCCTGGCCAATAGCAGTGTTAACTGCCAGGTGGGTAGCCAAGGGCTTCATTGGTATGCTGCTTTCCCTCACACACTCATCACAACCCAACATCCTGTACACTACCACATATCTCAGCCACTTCATCAACATGTTCAATGACTCCCATGCCATGGCCATCAAGTGTGTGATGAGATATCTGGTCATTACCCACAACCAGGTGATCTGCTACAACAAGTCACTGATCAACCAACATGACTCAGCCACCCTCATTCCTGTTGGATACACCAACACTGACTGGGGCAACACCAACACTGACAACACTCCATCTCAGGCATCATTTTTCCTACTCACTGGAGGTCCCATCTCTTGGACATCAAAGACACAACAGTTTGTTGCTCTCTCATCAACCAAAGCCAATATCAAAGCTCTGTTCCTCCATCATCTCACACCAGCCTTTGGGAGGGATTCATTGATGAGGAGCACCCTGAGTATGTCTGTTGGCTCAACAAGAGTCTCTATGGCCTCAAGCAGGCTCCCCTACTATGGAACAAGACCATTGACCTCCACCTCAGGTCAAGTGGCTTCAATCCCACCAATGGCAATCCTTGTGTCTACATTCAGCAAATGGGGGGGGGAGACTGGCAATCATCTCCATCTATATCAACAACTAGATCTTTCCTCCTCTTTCATCTTGCTGTTTATTACTCTTAAGAATCAAAGTTGTAATTATTTGTACCCCTTTTCTCTTCTCTTTCCTCCCTAATCAAATAATAATGCTGGCAGGAACTTGAGTTGATCAACTGCAGGGGGTACAAGCACCACAGGGCTACAGGCCCTTTGCCAGAACCAACCAACCCAGCCACTGCCACTGCCACTGCCACTGCCACTGCCGCTGCCGCTGCCATGCCACACACAGACCTTATTGAGGAGGAGCACACAGCAGGACAGGTGGCTCAAGCCATGCAGGTGGAAGATGGGGTGGAATTCATCAACTCAACAGAAGCTTCCATCCCCTCCACTACAGGCCCACCACAGGCAGACAACCAATTCATGACCACAACACTGCCAACTTCAGTTCTGCAGCAGGCTGCTGTGGAGACAGTGGCCCACACACTCTGGTCCTACCTCCTGGCCACCAGCAGTGGGGGAGGAGTAGCCAGTGACCCAATCAATGATCTGCTGGGTGAGGTCAAGTGTGCCTATCTGTGCATTATAGGGACTGGTCCTCCTGACCTCATTTTTGTATGACACCAACATCAACAAACACCCACCTTCTTCTCTTTGCCTTAAGGAGTTTAAATCTGCTGGTGAAAAAAGGATTCGCTGGTCGGGGTCGCACAGGTTGGAGGTCGCTGGTTGCTCGCTGGTCGGAGGTCGCTGGTCGGGGTCGCTGGTCGGAGGTCGGGGTCGGAGGTCGGAGGTCGGGGTCGGAGGTCGCTGGTCGGGGTCGCTGGTCGGAGGTCGCTGGTCGGGGTCGCTGGTCGCTGGTCGGGGTCGCTGGTCGCTGGTCGGGGTCGGAGGTCGCTGGTCGCTGGTCGGGCCTTTCTGGTTCACTTTAAGGTGGCGGCCCAGAACGTGTTGTGTTTATTCTCCGAACTCCACATCATTTGTGTTTATTCTCCTAACTCCACGTTATTTTTCTCCTTCAACTTTTCTCTGCCCGCCAAGGTTGTCGGGCCTGAGAACGCCAAAAGCTTTTGCAGTGCTTTCCCTACCCACTGCTTTCCCTACCCAAACTTGAGGCGGAATGGAGTGGCTCCCCTTGCGCGTTGCCTTTTTCCTTCTGCTTTTGTTTTACGCCTCCGTACTTGCCCGTGAAGCTACGGAGGTAGCCTCCAAAACGTCCAGCGCCATTATTTCTTCCCCTGTGTTCAAGAGCACGCAGCAGGGGAACCTGGTCTTCGACATGGGTCTCATAGAGCCCCTGCGCGAGGTCCACATCGCAGGTCCAGGCGGTATAGTGGTCGCTGACATGGACACGCTCGCCGTGAAGCAGGTCGTCAACACCTCCACGTTGCTCCGGCTCGCCGATGCGGACCACACCGGAGTTACGATAGGGACGGAGGGGGTGGTCTGCACTTCGAGCAACTTCCTCCCCAATAATGGCCGCCCTGTGTGGGTGGTGTCGATAAGGGGTGCCGGAGTGTTCGTGCCCGACATAGGAATTTATTCCTTCGACGCCGTGTCTTGGCGGCTCGTCGCGGCACACTCTCCGCTCGAAAACCGTGTGTGGCTTCCCATCGAAGCGTCGGATTCGCGGCTGGTCATGGACGGCGGAGATGTAGAAAGGTCTCGCTTTCAGTATCGGGTCCTCTATGACACCAAGACGGGTTTCGACGCCTATCCTGTTCCCATCACGCAAGTCCTCCAGACAACAGGTAAGGATATATGTGTCGATAAAAATGTTAGTTAGTTCTCTCACCACCGCTGATTCTGTTCTTCATTCCTTTCTTTTTTGATTGGCCAAAATGCAGCACCCTCGGAGTCGGCCCCGCAGTTGGTGTTTGGCATTAACAACCTGAACTCCTCCACCGGTGTTGCGGCATTCACAGCGCTGAACTTCACGGCCTGCACCTCTCTCTGCCCATGGCCACCCGGATGCGTCCTGCAGCAGCCGAAGGTCAACCTGGCCGCGGCCTGCTCACCCAATAGCTTCGAGTCGACACATTACTACTGGTACAACTTGTACTGGGGACCCTTCAGCCCGTCCATGTTCGGGATGATGGTCACCTTCGCCTCCGCGGATGACTCAACCCACATCTGCCTTGCGGACGTGGATCCGGCAAAGGGATACAGCGTTGTGGCGGCAACGACATCAAAGCTTCCCAGCAATGTGGACCGTAGATTCGCATGGAGCGTCGAGGCGTTTGGTGATTCCGGGCGTCGTCGGCTAGCATCCGTCATAGGCTTCTATCCGCCGCATGGTGCGCAGACACGCGAGAGAGACGCTCGTGTGGATGCCTGGTTGAGAGACCAACAAGGACAGCCGCAACATATCTACTTCAACGTGACAGGGATCAGATACCCAGCTTTCAGCTTGATGGCTACAGCTGTGTCTGCGGACGCGTCGGCCTGGTTCTTCGTCAATCGCGACTACAACGGGGTCAGCTTTGTCCAGCTCGGGCGGACTATCATTGATCTACCCTCCTCCAGCTATTCATCAGCATCGCCTGACGTCAGGCCCAGCCTGGTGGCCGAAGGTCGCGCAGACTTGAGCGCAAAGGTCGGTCTGTCATCGGACCCAGCGAAGAAGCCATGGTCGCGCCACCCGACTCTGGAAACGAAGGTCGGCTCCCAGTGTTCGAACCGAGCAGAGGGTGTTTGGGTGCGAGGGGATGATAGGGACGTTCATTTGATGAAGCCAGGGGTGACCTACATCGGCAACATCAGCGCCAACGTGCAAGCGCAGTTCGCCATCGACTTGCCGTACGACCTCACATCGGTCGTGCTGACCCTCTCGGCAGAGACCAAATTCTCGCAGCCGCTGGCCATCATGACGGTCCTGAATCAGAAGGCCGCGGCGGATGTGCAGCCGCCGAAGACGCAGGCAACCATCAGTGCGGCCTTCCTGCCCAAGGTTCGGGCCTTCATCAACGTCACGTCGTCGTACAACAACAACCAGCTGTGGTCGTCCTTCGGTATCTGCGCTGAAGTGACATCGGCCGAGTCTGTCGTGGGACACAACCGCATGACCGTTCGCCAGTGGACTTTCGGCAGCGCACCCATCGCCGTGGTCCGCAGGGAGAAGGGTGAAAAGGACGACACCGTCTCCGTGCTGCAGACACAACTGAGGGACAGCCGTGGGTTCAACCTGACAGGATACCGGACGGGTCCTGTCGGACAACCGCCCAAAGTGGTCTGGAATCACCAGCTGGAGAGCAAAGGGACGCTCAAGCTGCGCAACAATGCCACCCATCTGATCGCCCTGTCTGCTGAGGGCGGCCTCCAGTCCATCGACTTTGCCTCCGGCGCCATTTCTCAGCCCGTGCCAATCAAGATTGATGTCTCTTCGGGGAACCCAGTCTCGGTGGGCTTCTCGAGAGACCGGGTCGTCATCCTCGCAGGAGGCCTAGGTGAGGTACGACGGAACTCGCCAGGGTTTCCGTTCCTGTTCACCTTCCCGGCCGACTTCAGCGATGGAGAGCAGTGCTCGCCGAGTCTCTTGGCCGATGTGGCTGTGGACAATCTGGGCTACAGCTATGTGAGCGTGGCCTGCGGCTTAACGGACCTCTACGTCTTCGGCCCGGCGGGCCGGCTCCGCTTCTTTTCGCGGTATTCTAATTCGGCGTTCCATGGATTGCCCTTTACGGCCCTACAAGACATGGCCTGCTGGGCTCGCACGTGCTATCGCGGCATAGAGCGTTACAGCGTCGGTGGGGTTCCACCCGGATACCCTCCGGTGCCATTCGTGAGACAGGAAGACAACACCTCATTACTGCTCGTGTCAAGCGCCAACAAGGTGTATGCTCTGCGTGAGGACGTGCTCGATGCGCAGAATCCTGCGTGGCAATACTCGCTGCCAATCTCCACCGGTATTGGTGGGCCATCTGTTGTGGCCGGAACGCAGATGTGGTTGCACGATAACAGCGGCCTTGTGTTGGTGGCACTGGACGCTGCGAAAGGGACCTTGTCCTCTGCCTTCACATGGCCATCTTCGTATTCCTTCCAGTCAAGGTGGCTTGGTATGACATCGACTCCAGATGGGATACTGTATGCCACTTTGGAGACCCCTTTTGGTGTCTATTTCTTTGTTATCTCCCCATAAAAGAATACACTCATTGTTTCACCTGCGTTTTTTTGGGGGGGGCCTTCTGAAGGGATGGATGAGCAAATCCACGTGGCGATCGTGTGGATGAGGGGGAGGAATGCCCTCATTGTTGAATGACTCCGGGTCATTGCTCCACCAGGTCTCGCTGTGGGTGTAGATGTATCCGTTGCTCATCACGATCTTGACCGCGGTGCGTGAAGTCGTCTCTGTCGGTTTGGCACATCGTCTCCATCTTAGGTGGAGTACATCTCGGGCTCGTCCAGCATCATCAGGACGCCCGGATCGGTGTGACACTGGTCACACAAGCCATAGAAGAAGCCACGTCCGAGACAGGTCGGGCAATACCACCTACGCGCCACACCACCACCACCCCTCGCTTTGCTGAGACCACCCAGCCTCATGAACATTTCCCACCCGTCCACATACACAAGGAGGAGCAAGGAATGCACCTCACCGGGTGCTCGTGGCACCACGCGCACTGCTGGTTGTCGACCACCAGCTGCATGGTGTGCGTGTCATTGTGTCCTCTTGAGTCCTCTTCTTGCTGCTGCGGGTTGGGTTCATCACCCTCTTCTCTTTCCACCTCTACGTCTGCCTGTCCACCATCTTGTCCCTCTTCTTCCTCCTCCTCTTCTTTGTCTTCTGCGTAAAAGTCGTCGTAGTTTAAGGCGTTGACCGTGAAGAAGACGGCTCCCCCACCACGCGCTGGCCTTGTTCGTTACCTCCGAAGCCCACAACTCGCCCAGGAACTGCGGCTTGTCGATACCCTTCCTTTCCAGGATGTCCAGAGCGTAGGCCACTTCTCTCTCACGATGGGGAACAGGCCTGTTATCTTGGCATCGAGGTTGTACATGAGTATGCTCTTGACAAGCTTGTCGATCTTGGCCTCCAGCTCCCCCCCCGGCCCATATCTGAAGCCCTGTAAACATACTCCACGTCCTTCTCTATCTCCATTGTCGTGTATTGTCTAAACGCTATTGTCCACAGTGTTATTTCTTCCTTTTTTTTATGTGTATCCCAAGGCGATGACCAATCACAACACTTTCCGCTTCAGTACAGAACGAGCCAAGGAGAGGAATGACCATCGGCGCAGGGCCACCGAGCTGATCAAGTAATTACTCAAGACCCGCGCGTGAGCAAGCGAAACAAAAGGCATCGTGTTCATCGGTAACTTCATACTCTAGATGACTCATCTCCGGGAGATGAATCTTCGCAATGAGTCCTGCGATGTTGGCATCAGTGACACCGCGCGGGGTGTAGACGATTTCATCCCACGTCTTGGAGCGTAGGAAGTTCTTCCGGGAATGCCGGATCACAACGTAATCCGGCCAGCCAGTTCAGGTCAAGGTCAACTGGGTGTTAGGCGCTTCAACCAAAGCTTCCACTGTCGTACTCGGCCGCCTCCTGCTGGTAGCGAACTGCCAAGTCACGCACCCTTGAGCTGGCTTCGGCGTACTCCATCTCCTCGCACCCACGCTCATAGTACCTGCGACTTGAAAGTGAGCATGAACGTGGAACACGCACGATGACTCCGAAAGAAAAATCCTTAACATACGCGCGGAGTGTGTGACGTACAGGTAGACTTTGCGCCTGAACATGGCGTTGAAGATCTTGTACGATGTCTCCAGGGAGTGTCGCACGCTGGTCGAATTGGAGACGAGCGTGCAGCTGCCTCGCGGCAGGCGACTGCCTTTCTCGCCCGTGGTCATGGCCGTCACAGCAGTCGTTCCCGCCACGTCATCCTCACGGCTACCGAATGACGGGCTCGGTCGCGGGTGCCACCGCCCGAAGGAATGCTTGGCATTGTCGGCGACCCAGGGCACATACCATGATACCACTAGACTATCGGTCGTCGTCGTCGGCAGCTTGGCCTCGCCTCCTTTGGCTTTGGCGGCGACAGTCGTGGTAACTTCATGCATCTGCGCCAGGGGCTCCTCGATGTCGCTGACCACACCGCTGCTGGTGTGTGGCTCGAGCTGGAAGTGCGCGTGCGAGGCGAGCAGGCGGCCCGACATCCACTGCTCCCGGGGTGCCAGCAGGTTGCCATAGTAGTAGAGCGCATCCACCAGGGCGCGCGGGGTCATGGCCGCCGCCGGCTGCCAGGAGGGCACGTGGTTGAGCGAGAGGAAGTGGAGCTGCGGATAGGGCACCAGCGTGTGGGCGAGGCTGCGCAGAGAGCTTGGGGCGTAGTTGCCCTGGCGCGTGGGGAATCGCAGAGGGTGCGTGACCTGCATTGGACCGGCAACAAGCAATCAACAGCGGCGCGTGAGTCTGTGGTGAGCTTACCTAGCTATGGGGGACCAACGTACGCCGGCGAAAGCGCGGGCGATGAGGTCGATCGGCTTGGTCGAAGGCCCGCAGAGGCCGCGGACGCGCTAGAAGCATTATTGATTGAAGTATATACTTGTCAGATTCAGCCCACCAGCAGAAAACAGTCTGACGAGCACTAAAGCGAGCGACAAAAAACGCACCTTTTCGCTGACGTAGAAGCACAGATCCGCATTTTCGATCAGATGGTACAGAGTGAGGACGATGTTATCTGCACACCCGCCAATGGGTCAGTATCGTGCGTGTGCGTGTGTGCGTGCGGCCAGAAACCGAAGGCCCCAAGAAGGGGTCACACGTACAGGGGTCTTGAGCGTGCGGCATCTCGGGAGCGGGGATCACGGACAGCGTCGACAGCAGAGTGTAGGGGTATTCCTCTTGCAGGCGAGACAGGAGCAAGGTCGTGAATCCGCCGCCACAGGCACCTTGAGCCACCCAAACGTTCCAACCAGTCAACATACGTTGTAGCACCACATTCTCGGCATTGGTGAGGTGAGGTACCTGCAACATCGTGGAAGAGCTGGAAGGCTTGGAGCGTGTCGGCGCGCTCGGCCTCCCGCCTGACCAGGTCCAGCACGTCGTCGAGGGACTCGGCGCCCTCCAAGTAGTGGCCTTGCGGCCAGCAGCCGTATAGTGTTTTGTCGGTCGTGTGGAAGCAGCTGAGCATGGTGGAAGTGGGACGGCAACCATCGTAAGCACTACCACCACACGCACAGCACCACAACCTCGCACTCCTGCTGCCCTCCCCACCCGCCAAACGCACTTTGACCGGTCGAACAGAACACTGGAGGGATGCTTCGAGGTTCCCCAGCCCTGGTTCTCCAGATCGGCGAAGACAGCGCGGGCCACCACCGACTGATCGGACCGGCCTGTGCGAGAGAACGCGCACATCACAGGAAACGAGGTCTTAGGCGAACGCATCATCAGCATCACCATTATACTCGCTACGCCTCACGTACCGGGATCTGACTCCCTGAAGTGCGAGCCGAGACCGTAGAGCGCGCGTGGTGGTATCTTGTGATTGAGCGTCAGGCCACCGGTTCCCGATGTCGCTGCGGCCGAGGGAACCAGCAGGTCGTGCTCGAGCGCCACCTGCTCCAGGTACGACGCCAGCAGCGCCTCGCCTGCAAAGATACAATAAAATAAATTAAAAAATGGCAATAATTCCATAATAGAAATAAATAAATAAATACGAATAAAAAGAAGAAATCAAGTATTGCAAGGGCGCGCACCGATGATGCCGGTGCTGATTTGGATGAGGGGCGATGGACCCAAGGGGCCAACGTTGCGCACAGGCTGCTGCCAGCGCTGGCGAGACAGGAGGCGCCATTGGTGGGCGATGGCGGCAGTGCGCAGGGGCGCAAAGGGCGGCGGTGCAGTGCTGGCCACGGCTCCGGTGTTCGCCTCGAGCGCAGTCTCGCTGCCCAGGGCGAGGGCGCAAAAGGTGCGGCACACCTGGGCGAGCCGCACGACGTCCGCCAGCGGTCCGAACTCCAATTGCTGCAACACGTGCCACCACACCTCCGCCGGAAGCAGCTCCAGCGCACACTTCGCCGGCACCACCTCTTCTCCCTCCGCCATCATCTCATGAAAATAAGTAAATTAATAAATTAATAAATACACAACAATATTTGTTTTTATTTGGCGAGGCCGAGAGCGCCGCTGCCATCGCCGCTACCGCAAAAACCCGTGAAATGCTAGCAGCCGCCGAGCTCGACGCTTCGAAATGCGCGTCCAGGCCACAGGTGTTTGCGTTTGCGTCTCGCCGTCGTCGCCAGAGTCCCACGATCTTGCATACATTGACACGCCTCGCCGCTGACGCAACGTTGTGTGGCAGTCACAACATGTTGCCAGCGTCGAAAGCGCGCACCGACAGCGATGAGTGTGAGGAGGTGGGCGGAATACCCGACGCGCGCACTCGTGCTGCCGCTGTGTCGCGTGCTCGGATTAGCGCAGCGTGCTCGGCGGTGACCACTTGACACGCGCTCGCGCCTTCGTGACATCGTCAGGCCTTGCCGAGCCGCCAACTTGATGACAAGCCAAGTTGAGTCGAGTCGGGCTTGCACCACGTCTGCTCGTCGGACCAAGTTTGTGTGTCGAGCCAAGTTTGTGCTGGAGGCTAGTTGCGACGACGGGCACGCTGCGCAAAATAGTGCTCGCGGCGAGTGCGCGACGGCATCCCGCAGCAGGCATCAGTCCAAACGCGGCTCGATGCAAGCTCGACTTGGCTCTCGGTCCAACACAAACTTGGTCTGACGCAAACCTGGCGCAAGCCCGACCCTACCAGAGGTGGTCCGGTTGTCGTCCCTGTACTGGGGTCGTCGTCGGGCTCCGTGGTCTTGGGGGCGTGTTCGGCTGTGTTGCAGCTTTTGGTCACGCGCTTTGCTGAGCCTGCTCCATGGCAAGCCGTTGGAGCTCAACACAAACTCGGTCCGACGCACACCTGGCGCTAACAAACGAGGGCTTGGTGTCTTGCCGACTCATCCGACACAAACGCGACACGACGCCGCGCTGCGCCAACCGCCACAACGTCCCCGCGCGAGCAAACAAGAGCTGTGAATTGCGACCTGTGGCGACCTGTGAATTGCGACCTGTGGCGCCTTGCGCATTGCGCATAGCGACTTGCGAATTGCGACCTGTGGCGACTTGCGACTTGCGAATTGCGACCTGCGAATGCGCCAGAGAAAAGCCAGGCTTTGCGTAACCGATTGCTTTTGGCCGCGTGTACACCATGAGTTAACCAGTTTATTGGGACCTGGCGATGTGGCTGTAGAGGGGGAGGAGGAGGTGCTGATACAAGTACGACGCCCTGCCCATGGCATCGGCAGCGTGGGCCATCGGTCCACCTCGGCGAGAAACGGGAACAGCTCGCCGCAGCACCAGTCAAGCAGGGCGTTGATTACCTGCAGCTGGTCCACTTGGCTGCCACACGACGATTCCACCGCGGTCGAGGATCCGTCGTTGCCTTGGCGCTCGATGGCGCGCTGCAGGTGGACCCTCTTCCTCTTGAGGTTCTTCTCCACGAGAGTGCTCATCTCGGCACCGCTGGCCGACGCCAGGACCGTGTAGGGTACTTCGGCCAGCTCGAAGACGAACGGCGTTGGCAGCCTGTGCCACGCCAGGTTTAGCCGCTCGTCAGTCGTCCGCTTCTCCATGTTACACGCCGGGGACGGTTGCTCGCCGTTGGACAGGTGCTTGTCGGTCATGGCGCGTATTCTCGCCCACTCCTGCTGCTCCTGATCGAGCCGCGTCCGGTCGTTGTCCTCGGCACGCCGTTTCTCCTCGTCCTGCAGGTGTCCGGCTTCCGGGACATCGCAAGGCTCGCCAGGGGCGTGATCGTGGGGTTGGCGCTCAGCTCGTGCTGATGACCCCTGCTCCGACTCGCCCTCCCGCCGTCTCCGTTTGTCACGGCCGGATCCCTGGTGGTGGTGATGGGCTGGCCGCGCGTGCGACGAACGGGTGAAGTGGTCTGTCCTCTCTCTCGAACGCTTCCTGCCGCGAGCCGCGTCTGACGTCGTCCCCATGTGCTTGTTGTGCTCGTGCTCTTGAGAATAGTCGCGTGTCGGACTTGATCTTGATCTTGATTGGTGCCAGTTTCGCCGCGGCTCGTAGTGAGTGTGTTGGTGAGTGTGCTGGTGAGAGTGATGACGCTTGGCTTCTGCACGACAGTCCGTGTCTCTGGGCCGATAGGGTCGGTTGTCGTGACTCCTCTTGTCGGAGGACCTCCCCCAACCTTGTCGCACGTCGTTGCGCTGATTCTCTGGGCCGCGAGCCCATGACCGGCGCTCGGTTGGCCTGTCTGCGGTAAGAAGCGGGCTGGTCCGTCAGGCTGCCATGCCTCTCAGGAAGAAAGCGCACTGGAGGAACGGTGTACCCTCTCGTGCGTGACCGGCCGGGATCGCCGGCCGGCCTGGTGGACCCCCCCGCTGGTATGATGGTTGTTGTGGACCAAACGTGAAGCTCTGACGCTCAGGCTGAGGTGGCTCGTACGACGGCGAATCCGGATGAAACTCTTCGCCAGACTGGATCTCCTCGCCCTGCTGCCAGGGCGCCCCATTGGAAGCGACTCCGCGCTTGGTAAGGTGATGCAGCCTTGGGGAGTGAAGAGAGATGGCGACGCGGAAGGTGCGTACCAAACGAGAGGAAAGAGTGGTTCCTGGTCTCCTCGGCTCTGTCGCCTGATATTGTTTGTTGTGGTTGTCCTGATGGCCGGCGCTGGTGGCGGTGGGCTGATCGTTGGCGCTTCTCTTCCAGTGCTGGTCCGTATGATCTTCCTCGTCTTCGAGGTCGCCCAAGAGCGCTCCGATGTCCATCTCGGCCCACTCCATCCAGCGTTCTCTCCCCGCTCCCTCAGCGCTCGCCGCGTCTTCCCTATCATCATCGACCCTCGAGTCGGATCGGTCACTTGGTGTGGGGTCGGGGGAAGAGCACCGAGGATCGGGAGGCGGGAGGACGCCATCTTCCGGCCCCGGGATCGCGGTGGCAAGGTGGGTCGCAATGGGCTCCTCCGCAGCATTACCGTCCTCCTGATTGGCAATGAGCACAGTTAGGACTTCACCCCATCACTACACAGAGAAACCAGTACCTCCGGGCAGTCTGGCACCGTAGGCACAAGGAGGTCAGGCTCGTCAGTGCTGGCGGTGACAGTGCAGATGCCATCTGGCGTGGACTCGATGAGCCGCATGTAGGCTGACTTGACGCGGGCCAGCAGGTCGTCGATCGTGTCAACACTGACACCTCCATGGCCTCCATTGGCGGCAGTGATGGACTGAAGGTAGTGCGCTACCTTGTCAGCCACGTGGTCCTGCTGCCCGACCAATGGGTGGTCGTCATGTGGCAGCATGTCGAGGTCATCGGGTGTGGCATTGCCTTCCTTTGCGCCCAGGAGGACTGCAGCGTTCTGGGCTGCCAGTCCCACGTGTGAGGTGCTTGGCCCAGGGGTGAGAGGACCTTCTTGATGAGCAGCCAGTGATGGTGGTGGTGAGGCCTCAGCTTCATCGTTCTTCACCTTCTTGCACTTGCTCTGGTTGACGTTGCGGTTTAGCTTGTAGCCCTTGAAGGTGGCCAGCCCGAGTCCCTGCCTCATATGTGAGCACAGTGCGTGCTTCAACTTGAACCTTCCATGCAGTCCGAAGGAGAAGAGGGAGAGGGGAAAATGTACGAGGCTGTCCCTGTCCCAGGGCCAAGGATTGGCGCAGGGCTTCTTCCGCCGCAGTAGGCTTGGGTCCAGCAGCGCCTGGCAAGCCCAGCAGCAGAGCTGCTTCTTCTCTTGGGCCGTCCACTGCGGGTGGTGCGCACACTTGGCGTAGCGCAGACTCCTTGGTTTGGCCACGACAGGGGAAGAAGGAGAGAGCCCGTGGTCGGCTGGTGCCTCCTTCTCCATCTTCTTGGCGTTTAATGTCATTTAATGGCGTTTAATGTCATTTAATGCCGGCCTTTTAATTTAGCGCAGGGCAACGCCAATCCTGAAATACCGCCGTTGGTTTGTGGCGCGACTGTTGGAGCTCCTGCGCACTGCTAGTCTCTCATCGGCCATAGCCACGCACACAGTGACAACCACCCCACCATGAGCACAGGCCAGGCACCACGTCCTGTTGAGTACAGGAAGAGGGTAGTGGTCGGCAAGGAGAAAGTCGGTCTGTTCCGTCCTGCCGCCGGCGTCCAGCTGCTGCTTACGCAGTCATTCCCTGGTCTAAGTTTGGTGCAAGACCTGCCGGTCAAAGGGGGAGGTGCTGCTGGCCGCTCTTTGATCCGCACATCGCCGCCGGATCTGCCGACCACCATGGCATGCCCAAGGTTGATGGCAACGGCCGAGGCTCGTGGATGCGCCTGGCCATGGGCTACACGGTGAGCCCCGAGGCCGTCCGTGACGGGCTGGACAGACTGCTGAGCCTGCATGTCGTTCCGGCCGCATCTTGATCGCCGTCTGTTCTTCTGCCCCTTTTATTTCCCCCGCGTTGTTGTCGCGCCCCAATGTGCATCCTACGGCGATGGCAACAACAAAGAGGGACCAAAGCCCATATCGTACAAGCAGCAGCTCTATTAGCCGTGCGCCGGGCAGCCAGGTCATTCATTTTCTACTCGACTCCAGCAGCCTGCTCTGTCTGCCTGTCTGTCTATCTATCTCTCTATCTCACGCTTGCGCACAATGGAACACAGCTCTCTTGCGCCGATTGCCGTCAAGGTTGAACCCGACGCCGAATTGCCTGCCGCTACCGTTGCTTCCGCTGCCCGCGCACCCTGCCGCGACCGGTCGACGCACCACGACCGACAGTAGCGCTTTGGTCTCGGGCCGGCCCAACAAGCGCCTCCGCGCGCGCCCCGACGAGGAACCGATCGACGCCGACCGCCAGACCATCACGCTCAAACAAGCCGTGGGCCAGTTCATCCGCCAATGCACGGTCAGCGCTTATGACAGAGAGGAGAACGAGCACGTCCTGGGCGTGCCCGTCGGCGTGCTCCTACCTGACCGCCGCGCAGCTCGCGCTGATCTGGCGCGCCTTTGGATCTCGGCCCCGATGATGGCGAGTGTCGTTACGATGCCGAGCGAGACGCGCGGTTCGTGTCGGCGGTCCTCTCGGCCCTGACCGAGCGTGGGAAGGCCAAGGCCAGGCTCGATGATGGTCCGTGGCGCAGCAAGGACCCCCAATGGCGCTACCCGCAGCACTGTGGCGAACCGACCGCCGTGTTTGAAGGATGGATCGTCGGGTGCGATCTGCTGCATCGGTACAACCCGCTGGTGCCCGCCGACCCGTATGCGTCCCACAGGCTCTACGCGCAGATCACCTGCTTTGAGCTGGACCACGCGAGCTCGGCCATCCACTACGTACCGCTAGAGTACATCACGCCCGCGCAGTTGGCGCTTCTCAAGCAAGCGCACGGCTTCTGCACGCCCGAGGACCAGCACGAGTGTCCCGCCGTCGATACCGTCTACGATTGGCTCAATGCGATCGACAGTTCCGGGCTGGTTCGGTACGCCAAGAGGCCGGGCACCGTGTCTTGCGAGCCGCGCAACGTCGTACCCTTTACGATACTCGGCCCCACCTACTGAGCGCGCCAAACTCTACGCGCTCACCTCTTTGTTGTTGTGCGCAGACGATGGGCCGGCAATGTTGAGGAGCGCACGTGACGAAAGCACGTGTTCCTCAAGTGATCGAACGTGGAGGAAGTCGCAACGAAAAACACCATCAACATCACAATGTGAGTCCGTCGAGAAATGACACATCTTTGTACCACCACTCACATGGATGGGGGCAAGTGCAAAGTCACATTCCAGAAAGTCCTCTACATGCCAGAGCTAGCTAAGAATCTACTCTCAACAGCACACATTGCCAGCAAGGGCTGCCAACTCACCATCAATGTGCAGGGCTGCCAAGTCAACAATCACCAAGGCCAAACAATCCTACACACCAAGGCCCAAGGCAACATGCTGATCATACCCATCAAGCCCAACTTGCCCTCACACCAGGTCAACACTGTCCATCAGCTCCCAACCCTCAATGAGCTACACCACCATTTCAGTCACACCAGGGAGAAGCAACTTTGTGCCACCCTCAAGGCCCTTGACATTGAAGCTACAGACTCCCCACTCCATGCCTGCCTCATCTGCAAGAAGGGCAAGCAGACCCACAAGCCAATCCAGTCAGGGCCTGCGCCTCAAGCCACTGCACTGCTCAAGCACGTGCACTCCAACATCTGCGGCCCCTTCCCCATTCCCACACATGAAGGCAAGCGCTTCTTCATCAGCTTCATCAACAACTACAGCAGGTATGCCATGATCTACCTGCTGCGCAATAAAAGTGGTGCTCACCTCATTTAAGCATTATCTCATCACCACACCCAATGGGAAGAGGTGCCAGAAGCTGCAATCAGACCAAGGTGGTGAGTACACTGGATCAGAGTTCCAGAGGTTCCTGCACAAGCAAGGCATTGTCCACAAGAAGGTAGCCCTGCACACACCAGAACACAACAGAGTAGCCAAGCAATTCAACCATACCATCATCAACATGGTGCAGTGCATGCTCTTCAACAGCAGCCTGCCCAAGAGCTTCTGGGGCAAAGCACTTGCAACAGTGGTCATGATCAACAATCAGCTCTCCACTGTTGCCAACCAAGGCCGCCTGCTGATGTCAACCTGGGACAACAACCAACGCCTCACACTACATGAGATACACCAGTTCAGATGCCCAGTCTCAACACTGACACCCTCCAGCAACCAAGACAAGCTCAAGTCACATGTGCACAAGGGAATCTACCTTGGACCCACACAGAATGACTCAACTCATCATCATGTCCTCATCAACAGCTGAGTACTGGAGTCCAGAGAGGTCACCTTCTACAATGACCTCCCTGCCACATCACCTGAAGAGCCAAGCATCAATGATCTACTCAAGATCCCAGGGCTGCATGTGGAGAACAGGACACCCTACAAGGAGATGAGCCAGTGTGAAGACCAGGAGTTGGACAACAACCTCAATGCAGGCGACATGGACAACATGCCCACACAAGGACGCTCCCTTTCCCAACTCCACGCACAGCTGGCACAAGACAACACTCCTACCCCACCAGCAGATGAGGAAGAAGAAACAATCCACATGACTGACACAGCCAATGAGGCAGAGCTGACAAACAACAACACTGAATGTGAGAAGAGCAATGACATGATGACCTGTCAGCCTCCTGTCTGGCGACTTGCAAAAATGATGTGGCACAACCAGAACCCAAGCGATGACCATCTCAGCCAGCACCTGTCAACCAGTGACATGACAACCCATGAACTTGGCTCCAAGTGACCACAAGGTTGGCCTACGCCAAAGAAACCACTGCCACACAAGAGACAGCTGAACCAACTGCTGACTGATGGCATGTACCTCACACTAGTAGTCATTGAAGATGAGCTAGTGCATGCACAGACCCCCAACAGCTACTGAGAAGCTATCCAGTCACCTGAAGCCGACCAGTGGCTCAAGGCCATGATGGAGGAGATTGAAGTGCTCACCTGCAACTGTGTCTTCAAGTTGGAGCCACTGCCTGCAGGAAGAAAGGCCATTGGGGCACGTTGGCTGTTCAAGATCAAGGGCCTTGCCAATGGCATGATCAACCGCTTCAAGGCCCAATGGGTGGGCAAGGGGTACTTGCAACAGCCCAGAATCAATTTCAATGAAACCTTCTCCCCCATCATGTGCATTGAGAATCTACAACTCCTGCTGGCCATCACAACTGCACTCAACCTCAAGATCCATCAGTTGGATGTGGACACTGCATTTCTCAACGCCAAGCTTACTGAGGAGGTGTACATCAAACAACCAGAAGGCTTTGTTGACCCCAACAACCCACACCACATGTGCAGACTGCTAAAGAGCCTTTATGGCTTAAAGCAGGCCCCACATGAGTGGAACCACACCCTTGATGCTCATCTTTGTGACAACAACTTCAAGCCAACAGTCACTGACCTGTGCATCTATGTCTGTCAACAGGAAGACCATCAACTAGTTGTGATTGCTGTCTATGTCAATGATTGTACAATCATCACTCCCAAGCACCTCCTCAATGAGACCAAGAACGTGCTACACCAACACTTCAAGATGAAGGACCTGGGCGAAGCTGAATCCATCCTCAGCATCAAGATTCACTGAGACTGAAAGAAAGGGACACTCTACATCCACCAACTGGCCAAGATCCTTGAGCTTCTCCATGACTACCACCTGCACAACTCAAACCCCATCATGACGCCAATGGAGCCTGGACTCAACCTGCTGAAGCTGGATCGCACAGCCAACGAAGACAGGAGCCTGCCTTACCACTTGGTGGTGGGTAGACTATGCTACCTGGCCCATTTGACTTGACCTGACATCGCCTTTGCTGTCAATGTGCTGAGTCAACACCTCGCAGCCTACTCCAAGGCACACTGGAGTGCAGCCAAGCACCTGCTACAGTACCTACAAGGAATGATTCACTACACAATCAAGTTCAACTGCTTGAGTCTTGAAGACCACACTTGGCATTCAACAACTGGAATCGTCTGCACCCTACTCAGCGCGCCCATCTACTGGTCTTTGAAATCACAACGCTGCATCGCGCTGTCCACCTGCGAAGCGGAGTACAACTCGCTGACGGAGGCAGCCAAGCAGTCAGTCTATCTTTGTGACATCTGCGACGACCTCAGCCTCACATCGAGCAGACCAACAATCATCTACAACAACAACCAGGCGGCGCTCAAGATCGCCAACTCCAACCCTGGCAAGCACCACCCACGATCAAAGCACTACGCAGTCAAGCTCACGTACCTTCAAGAGTTGATCGCCAATGGACACGTCAAGCTACGCCACTACCCCTCTCAAGACATGCCCGCCGACGCGCTCACCAAGGCCTCCGGACGAACGCGCGTCATTGAGCAGCTGAAGTTATTCAGCATGTTCGATTCCCCGGTTTCGATCAAGGGGCGTGTTGAGGAGCGCACGTGACGAAAGCACGTGTTCCTCAAGTGATCAAACGCGGAGGAAGTCGCAACGAAAAACACCATCAACATCACAATGTGAGTCCGTCGAGAAATGGAACTCCGGACACAACTCACCAATAAAAGGGCTACGAAGACAACGACTCAGTTGTCTCTCGTCTCTCTCTCACCACACGAGCACGCTCTGCTCAACAGGCAAAGCCGATGGAACAGAGTTTGCGCCACGCCACGATTCAAAGCACAATCTGGCGCTTTCTTTTCTTTGTCATTGTTTGTTTGCGTGTGTGTCGGTCCGGTTTGCCACTGTGGCGGCACCGCAGCGGACCAGCTGTGGCGTTTGCCAACAAACCAACGGCCGGCGCGCATCACAATCCGCAGCCAAACGGGGTATGGGGCGCCCGGCATTGCCGACCGGCGCACAACCGCCGCCGCGGCAGCTCTGGCGATGTCACACCCTGCGAGCTTTGTTTTGCCGTCGGCAAGACCCAAGAGCGG